AGTGGGAATATTGTTGCTCTGGGCCAACCTCCCTGCCCCCAGGAGGAAGAGAGCGGTGCCCCAGGCCCTGGCTGCCTGCTTTCCTTGCTAACAGACACCCAGTCGGCAGGCACTTGTGCTCATCCTCAATGAGAAGTTTCTCTCCCTTCTCCCCAGGTGCAAGAGAGGTCAAAAGAGCTCTTGGAGAATGAAACATTTACTGCTGCTCTACCAGGTGCCTCCCCACAATGAAAGCCTCACAATCACCCCACAAGTGATGCCGTCATCCCCATTTGATGGTAGAGAACTGAGGCAGGGGTTTGAGGGTCAGCCACTTAGGTGAAATCAACAGAGTCTGACTCAGAGTCTAAAGCTCTTTCCATGATGGAGGGGGGCAGTCAGGACCCTCACTATGTCCTAGTCAGGCACAGGGAACAGTTTGCTCCTCAGGAATGCCTTGCATCCTCCCTGCAGAGAAAGCTCCTGGCAAGCCCAACATGCCAGCTGCACCTTGGGCATGGAACCTGCCGGCAGTCTGAATCTTTAGACAAGGCATTCCCCACTACGATGATGGTGACAATATAATAATGCCCAGCGTGTTAATAAAATGCCAGCTCCTTTGGGGCACCTTATGGGAGTCTCTATAAGAATCCTTTCCTCAGGTAGGTGGTTCACACTGTAAAGAGGATCAGGAGGTGCCAGAGCTGTGTGTCCCTGAACCTGGCTTCTTTGCTGGAGACACCTGAGTGTCACCAATCACATCCTCCAGAGCAGATCCTCACAGCCTGCTTCCCCCACTTGAGAAAAATCCGGCAAACAAATAAGGCCACACCAGCCCAGAGCCTGGGGAATAGAGGGTGAGCCCGGAGTCGCTGTGAATAATGCCTCCGTTCAGCTGCAGATGACTGCAGCGTCAGGGAAGCCTTCGCCTACTCTCCCGCCCACAGCCAAGGTGCTGGGGTTAAACCGAGAGACACCTTTCAATGGGGCCAGAGGGTCCAGGACTTGGGCTGGCTCTGTGACTCCTTCAGCTTTTGGTCCCCTAGACAGAGAACCCTGGAGGCCTTCTTACAAGGCAAAGCCTTGTCTCCCTCTTCAAGGCAGACTGGTCTAGGTTGAGTTCTCTACCCCAGGCAGTAGGCATCAGTGCCCGGAACCCTGAATTAGTCCTTTGACGGTCCCTGACCGGCTGGGTACCTACTGGGAAGAGGATGCTGCAGTGAGGCCTTCAGGAGGTCTCCAAGCTGGGAACAGCAGCAGCAGCAGCAGCCAGGAGAGGCACCAGCCTGGCTTTGTTCCTCCGGTGCCGCAGCCACACGGGCACAATACCGAGGCTCCGGCTCCAAGGCTCAGGGCTCCGGGTTCGAGGTGAGTCTCCCAGGAAGGCCTTTGCGGTGTAAACACTTCCAGGGAAAGGAATGTGCTGGGAAGAGCATGGCTTGGCCACTGCAGCCACAGCCAGCTGAGGAAATTTTTTAAAAAATCACCTCAGGATTCAGAAGGCTTTCTGTGAAACTCCCATCCTCCTTCAACGCCCTCTTTGGCCACGGTGGCGGCATCCTACCTGGGCAGGGAGTCCAGGGAACCGGGCAGGCTCAGTGGAGCCTGGGGAGTGGCAGCTGCCCACCACTGGGTGTCCAGAACAGGCTGGGCGGCAGAAGGGAGCCACCGGCCTCGGACACCCGGGCAGGAGCCCCGTGGTCCCACTGCGCTCGTACAAAGGCTCCCGCTTGCACACTGAGCCTCGGGTCGCCAGACCTGGGAGCTGTATTACAAGCGATTAGACTCCATTTTGTGACAGATTTTTGGACTCTCCCACTGGCCCTCCCCCCTTCCGGAGCCTCCTCTAGGAATCGCCACCTCCTCAGGATAGAAACCCTTTCCAGACAGCGACAGACAGCAAGAAAAGAGAGTTACACAATTCAATTTGGCCAAACCTCCAAGAAAACAAATTGGGGAGGGGATGTTGTCATTTTTGCGCCCCCCAGTCCGTTCTGCATTGGAGGATGTGGAGGTTCGAGGACATTTCGCAGAGGCCGTGTTTCTTCCTGGTTACTAACCAGGTTTTCTCTCCGAAAAGGGGCAGAGACTATAGCTATTTTTGGTTTTGTTTTTTAGAAGTAGCCCCCCCAACACACACACACACACACGCACACACACACACACACACACACACACATACACAAATAACATGCAGAGAGAAGGAAATTTTTTGAGTTACAAGTGAAAATGCCCAAACTCACAACTCACGATCTGTTCTGTTCAACTAAGAACGTAAGGGTGGATTTTATCAAATGCTACTACATGTGTCCAAACATCAATTAATCACCCCCATGATACGTAAAATGACTGTGTATCTGGGTGCCTGGATCTTCAAGAACAAATCGAAAGGAAGAAGAGATACTTACTAAAAATGGAAACCTTTAAGGACTGATCCTGAGCTCCTTTCAACTGGGTGAGGACACTGTTTTTTAAAAAGCTGGGGGGGGGTGTTAATTTCCCAATGCCACTGACACACAGACTAGAGAAAAATCTAGAAGGCACTTTTCTGCACCCATTTGCCCCGATTCTCAGCTGAAAAGCACTTGCATACAGATGAAATAAATATGCATGTGTGATTCTCAAAGAAAAAAAAAAGAAATCGTGAATTTAAAAATTCTTATTGTGTAAAGAACATTTGCTTCCCAGTGAGCTCTTGCCCGCCTGGCTTTACTTGCTCTCCCCGTGAAATGGTGCCTGGGACCGCTGGGGATTTGTCCCCCAAATAGTCTGGATAACTCCCACCCTACCACCCCGCCCAGCATCCCCGCAGGCCAGACTAGTGAAGATACCTAATTGGCATTATTGAAAGAAAGAGGGGATGAGACAGGAGGAGGGGACTTGAGCTGAAAGAATAATGCCGCCCCCTTCCAGCCCTAGGCTTTAGGCTCGCAGGACCCAGACTCTAAGCAGGACCTGAGATTTACCCTATGACAAAATTCATTCCCCACACACAGGACACACAAGATTGCAAGGAAGGAGTAGGCTCTGGGCCAACTTTTTCTTGTCTTTTCAAAACAAATATACATTGGACAAAGCAGTTGCAAATGTTGAATTGTTTTGTAAAACAAGGGGGGGTGGTCAGTCCTTCATCTCTAGGGCAACTCCCAGCTCAAATGTGACTTTTTTGCCTCTCTGCCTGCAGAACCCAGGGGTATGCTTGAGTTCTTTTAAAGAGAAGCCCTATAATAATTAGGGAAAAACATACACAAGAGGTTGGAAAGAGTCTTTCTGATAAAAAAAAAATTTTTTTTTAAAGCTACACAAATATTTCAGAGGCCTTTTTCTCCTTTCACCGGCCTCTTGGCCCCAAGTGTTGAGTTGCTGAAGCTAGTGCCTGAGCTGGGTTATAAGTGGCACTGCCAGAGTGAAGCTCGGGGTCAGGCAGGCACATCGGGGCCAGGGGTAAAGGATGTGGATGGGCTGGAGGCTGGTGTACCCCATCACATGCTCCCCACCAAAGTCCACAGCCATAGGGACCCCATTTTATTTGTCCTGCTCTGTGCCTCACTGGCAAACTGACTGACGGCCTTTCCCTCTTCTACAAACAGACTCGTATCAGCCCAGGACACCACTTCATATTCACAGTGGGAGAAGTCTCAGTCATCTGTGTCCTGGGACCAGTGCAAGAGCTCATTGTCTCAATGGACCCCAATTCCTGCCCAAAGAGTCCCCAGCCAGCAGAAAAGAGCAAGGTGCAAAAAGCAGCTCCTGCCTTTCCCCACACCAAAGGGGCGCAGACAGCACCTTCAAGTTCTTCAAGGTAGAACTTGATGCCCTCTCTAGGGCTCTGGCCTGCACTCCCAGTCCCATAGCCTCAGCCAAGCTGTTGGGCTTCTCCACTGCCCACCAGGACCTGGATTTGGGGACACTCCTTGGGCACAGCAGGTAGGCTGCACGCATCACTCAGCACAGGCAACTCAGCCTTTTCCTGGAGATTTGGGCACACACAGTCCTCTTGCAGCCCCAAATCACCTGATCATCTCTCCATCCTACAACCCTACCCAAGACGATTTTCTAGGCATCACTAAAAAGTTCTCACAGGCACTGAGTTGTCCCTGCCAGGTCCCTCTGGGGACCTCCACACCCCTTTTCACTGTTGCTCCTCACTGCCTTCCTCCCAACTGCACTGCCAGGCACAAAACCCAGCAGGTCAAAAGAAAAGTCTGCATCTATTCTCATGTGTCCCAGGGCTCTTGTCATACAAATGCACAGGCACAGCTACACACAGAAGACAGCAGGTAAGGAAGGCTCAAGCCATGGTCAGGGCGAGCAACCCCTCTCCAACACACACTGCATGAAAGGAGGTGGTCTGGGAGGGCTGACTGTTCTATACCTTCACTGGGAGTCCTAGATTGCAACTTGCCATTTTAAAATCCTCTTCCTGGACTGCTTCTCCAGCCAAGAAAAATTATAACTGCAAGATTCCCGCATGGAACGGTTTGGGGAATATGGACACTCACGTCTCTCCACCAGGGACGAAAAGTGCAGGAGAGAGCCTGGGGGAATGTGGGCTCCTAATTGCTAAGGCAAGTCGGTGACCAGGACAGGACTTTCCTGCTCTGCGAATCCCAAACCTGCGCTCGGGCTGGGAAAGAACACTGCCAAGCTTTGCTCCCTAAAGCACTACCTGCCTTTGAAAATCAATTTGTGGTTTCCATTCAGACCTCAGTGGGGCCAAATCCGGGCCCCGGGACTAAAGGCATCATATTCACCATTCGACCCAGGGCCTTGTCTTGTACCCCAACTCAGCGGTGCAGCGCAGATTTCCCGGACAACGATGGCACCTAGGGGCCAACGGTGGCCACATGGGATAGTCCGCCCCAACCCTGCAAATGCGCAGTCTGCGGAGCCTTAGGAGCTGCCGGCCCAGCCGCACGAAGAACCTGGAGCAGTGCAGGCCTCGAAGGCCTTACGCGGCAGGAGCCTGACCCTCTCAAGTGCAGGGCGGCAGGGAAGGGAGCAGGACAAGAGGCGCTTACTGTTGGTAGTCTTGTTTGCAGTACAGTTTCCGATCCCGGAAGTAGCAGCTGGTGGTGAGGGCTTGCTGACACGCCGCGCACTGCAAACACTCCTCGTGCCAGGACGACTCGTTGACTCGCATCAGGAAGCGGTCGGAGATGGGCCGCTGGCAGCCCTCGCAGACGGCGGGATGCGGGCAGTCGG